TGCATGGAGGACAGTTGACAAAGTCGTTCGAAGTAAAGACTGGTGTCAGGCAAGGTTGTTTACTGTCACCCTTTCTCTTTCTCCTGGTGATCGACTGGATCATGAAGACATCAACATCTGAAGGGAAGCACGGGATACAGTGGACAGCTAGGATGCAATTGGATGATCTAGACTTTGCAGATGATCTGGCTCTTCTATCGCATACGCAACAACAAATGCAGGAGAAGACAACCAGTGTAGCTGCAGCCTCAGCAGCAATAGGTCTCAATATACACAAAGGGAAAAGCAAGATTATTCGACACAACACAACATGTACCAATCCAATCACAATTGACGGAGAAGCTTTGGAAGATGTAAAAACCTTTACATATTTGGGCAGTATCATCGATGAACACGGTGGATCTGATGCAGATGTGAAGGCACGGATTGGCAAAGCAAGAGCAGCATATTTACAACTGAAGAATATCTGGAACTCAAAACAATTAGCAACCAACACCAAAGTCAGAATTTTCAATACAAATGTCAAGACAGTTCTAATGTATGAGGCGGAAATCAGGAAAACTACGAAATCCATCATCCAAAAGATACATGTGTTTATTAACAGTTGTCTACGCAAAATACTTCAGATCCGCTGGCCGGACACTATTAGCAACAACCTACTGTGTGAGAGAACAAATCAGATCCCAGTGGAGGAAGAAATCAGGAAGAAGCGCTGGAAGTGGATAGGACACACATTGAGGAAAACACCGAACTGCGTCACAATAAAAGCCCTCACATGGAATCCCCGAGGTCGAAGGAGGAGAGGAAGACCAAAGAATACATTACGCCGAGAAATGGAGATAGATATGAGAAAAATGAACAAGAATTGGATGGAACTAGAAAAGAAGGCCCAGGACAGAGTGGGTTGGAGAATGCTGGTCGGCGGCCTATGCTCCATTGGGAGTGACAGGCGTAAGTAAGTAAGTAAGTAATATTATTCCTCAGAAGGACCTTGACATGACAAGCGTTTTGTTCTGTGGGAAGGCAGTAACGGTATGCAAATGACGTTTTAAAAATAATTATAGGTAAGATTATAGTTTACTCTTGACTTAAGACGGCGCGTAGGTGACCTTGAGGTTATTCGCCTACTTACTTGGGTCAAATGAAGGTCACGAATTACTGTGGGGAACTAGGATCAAGATTTATGGTTAAAAGTTAGGGAAATTACACTAGCTTTAATGCCGAAACACAACTTAGCTAAACGAATGGGTGAATTTTGCGTCCGAATTGAAGACCCGACAACATGATTTGATTGACTTGTCTGAAAGTAGAAGCTTCTCCTACTTATTATACTTCAAACAAAACATAACAGAAAGCTGACCTTTGTTAAAAAAAGCGATAACTTGCACGCATGATTGAAATAAATTTTGCTTTTGTTTATACATTACTTTAACGGTGTAGCGGTAAATAAATCCCAAAATAAATAGCTCTGTGAGTTTTCAACATTGGATGCTGACCACATTAGTTTTAATGGACTCGTCTAGCTGAAGGCTCTCGGTCACGCATCCGCAGCAGATCACGAGTGAGAACGTCGTGCTCAACAAACCCTGCAATCACTAGCCAGATTAAATTAGACGATCGTCGATATATATTGATAGCCTATCAAATATATCTTCGAATCTCCTCGCTTCTGTCTTTTGATTTCACTTGGTGGGTACGCTTCATATTAGAAGGTGTTATTGGTTAAAGCGTTGTCAAACTCCAAATACCTGTGGCATCTTTAATGGTATATTTTATCTATTTTAACTTTGACTGTTTCGACTAAGGTTTAGACCTAGAGGTGGCACTTAGTCGATGTTTATGACGTCATCTTCATAATGGATCAATATAAGATCTAGTAAGGATGATTCAGTGTTCGGTTCGTACCTAATCGCTTCATTCACATGTTGTACTGGGGCACATGTGATAACCACATTAACTAGTTCCTGGTCGATCGAATTTCCTGACAATTCAGTTTTCAGAATTTGCAGTCTACTGTGGGTGCATTAAAGTTTCCCGGGATAAAACGTCGTGTAGCGGTAAATAATTCCCCAAAATCAAATAGCTCTGTAAGTTTTCGACATTGGATGCTGACCATAGTTTTAGTGGACTCATCTAGCGGAAGGCGCTCGGTCAAGCATCCGCACCAGATCACGTGTGGGAACGCCGTGCTCAACATCTGTCACAATCGCTAGCCAGATTAGTTCAAACGATCCTCGATATATTGATAGCTTATCAAATATATCTTCGATCTCCTCGCTTCTGTCTTTTGATTTTACTTGGTGGGTGCGCTTCGTATTAGAAGGTGTTACTGGTTAAAGCGTTGTCAAACTCCGAATACCTGTGGCATCTTCATTGGTGAGCCCGACGTGATCTGGTACACCATATTGTAAACTGTGAGTCTGTTCCTTTTTGTGATTTCATATATCATTGTCTTATTTTAATTTCTTTTTTTTTACATTGTGATATTTTTTTTCCGTGTTTTTGAGTTCATATATATATTTGCCACTCGTTCACTTTTCGTACTTGGTATATTACTATGACTGAACAGACACCTAAAGTATTCAAGTTAAAGACTGTGTCCCCACCCTCTTTCCAACTTATGCCTTTCTGGCCAGACAACATCGAAGCCTGGTTTTGTTATGCAGAAGCCGACTTCTACGAGCACGGTGTGAACGATGTGCGTGCACAATTCCTCGCAGTAGTCAAGGCACTACCGCGCGAATTCAACAGGTACGTAACACCTAGTATGTTTACTAGTGATGTTGCTGATCCATACCAAACACTGAAACAGGCCATCCTTAAACGCGGAGATCTAACCGATCGACAAAGGTTAGACCAACTCCTTAACAACATCGACCTGCAACACGGTTCTGCCACAGACATGTTGCAAAGAATGCGAGAAGTCATTGGCCAAAGAACCTTCGATGACGGCCTATTCAAGCAACTTTTCTTATCCAAACTTCCTCAACAGGTGCAAGCTGTTTTGGTCTCGTTCCAAAACAACGCTGTAGACGAACTAGCGGCATCTGCCGATCGCATTCTCGAGATCACTAGGTCTCCTAACGCCGAGGTTTTTTCAGTCAAAGAAAAGCCTCAAACGACCCAGAATGACATAACACAGTTGTGTCATACACTCACGCGCTATCTCAAACTCGGTAACGACCGCAAACGATCACTTACTCCGCGGAGAAGCACATCACGTAGGCGATCCGTATCTAGAACTCGAGAGACAGATAATCCTGTTTGGTGCTGGTACCATAACCAGTACGGAAAGTCTGCCAGAAATTGCAGAAAACCCTGCAATTTCCCCAATGCGAAATCCGTCGACGCGAAGAACGCTTCGGGAAACTTCCAAGCCGGCACGCGTTAACGGCGACCGTAGCCGGCGAACATAGCCGTCTTTTATATGTCACTGATAGGATAACGAGAGTTCGCTACCTCGTAGATACTGGCGCAGAGGTTAGCGTTCTCCCGGCGAATTCCAACGACAGGCTACACGAGCCTGTTTTAAATCTACAGGCGGCAGACGGAAAGCCTATCGCTACTTATGGCCAAAGGTATGTTTATCTTAACGTGGGTTTACGCAAACCCATTCACTGGATTTTTGTTGTTGCAGATGTTTCTATGCCAATCATTGGTATGGACCTTCTACAACACCACAACTTAATTATCGATACGCGCAAACGGAGGTTAGTCGACGGAAACACTAATTTATCTGTTTGCCTGACTTCTTTTTCTGGTTGCAGGTTATCCCCAGTCACTATTAAGCACACTATAGACCCCTTCTACCAACCACTACTCGATAAATATTCTGGCATTTACCAATCGCAACCGAAATTGCCGTGTGTAATCAGCAATGTTACACATCACATCACGACTACAGGACCACCTGTATTCTCGAAAGCACGCCGACTGGCCCCCGAAAAGTTAAGGTTGGCGAAAAACGAATTCGACCATATGATAAACTTAGGGATCATACGACCGTCAAATAGCCCATGGGCATCTCCGTTGCACATGGTCCCTAAAAAGGACAGCAACGATTGGCGTCCAACTGGTGACTATCGGAGATTGAATGCAAACACCATTCCCGATCGTTACCCGTTGCCCCACATTCACGATTTGACAGCTACCTTGAAAGGTGCAACTGTCTTTTCAAAAACTGACTTGGTAAAAGCTTATAACCAAATTCCTATGGCCACTGAAGACATTCCAAAAACCGCTATTATAACGCCCTTCGGACTCTATGAATTTTTGCGAATGCCTTTCGGTCTGAGAAACGCGGCACAGACTTTCCAAAGGTTCATAGATGACGTTTTTCGAGGTCTCAACTTCGTACATGCATACGTTGATGACTGTCTAATAGCAAGTCCGGACAGAGAATCACATCTCCAGCATCTGGACATTGTTTTCGACCGACTACAAAAGCATGGCATTACCGTTAACATTCAGAAATGCCAAATCGGAACCGAATCCTTAGACTTCTTAGGACACACTATAGATGCGCATGGCATTCGACCCCTTAGAACGAAAGTGGCGGCCATTCTGGATTACCCAGAACCGACCATCATCAAGCAATTGCGCACGTTTAACGGTCTGGTAAGTTTTTATAGACGATTCATACCGAAATGCGCGTTACTTATGAAACCCCTTACTGACCAACTTCGTGGAAATGCGAAATCCATTAATCTAGATGACACTACCCGAAAAGCATTCTCCACGGTTAAGGAACATATCGCCCGAGCAGCAATGCTTGCTCATCAGGACCCTAAAGCGCCCATTAGCATCTCAGTAGACGCATCCGACTCAGCAATCGGAGCAGTCTTACAACAATGGGTTAACCACTCCTGGCAACCTTTGGCATTTTTCTCTAGACGGTTGCTAGACACTGAATCGAGGTACAGCACATTCGGTAGGGAACTCCTAGCTATGTATTGTGCTGTCCGGCATTTTCAACACTATATCGAAGGCCGTGAATTTATCAAATGGATATTCTTATCTTTTAACATGCGTAGACCGTTTTACTCGATGGCCAGAAGCAGTACCCATCAGAGATATTACTGCTGAAACAGTGGCTCGCGCCTTCGTCGAGAGGTGGGTAGCAAACTTCGGCTGCCCAACAACCATTACTACAGACCGTGGACGTCAGTTTGAATCTGAACTGTTCCGTTGTCTTACCATGAAACTAGGAATCACTCGCTTTCGAACGACGGCCTACCACCCACAAGCAAACGGGTTAGTAGAACGTTTTCACCGACAACTAAAAGCGTCACTATCAGCCTCAAACATTTCTCAGTGGACTGACGCTCTTCCACTCGTCTTACTAGGCATACGCAATGCAGTGAAATCTGACATTGGATACACTGCATCTCAACTCGTTTATGGTACGACCCTTCGACTTCCAGGAGAGTTCGTGGATCCTTCATCCTCTTCGATGGACATGGATCTAACCTCCTACGCGAACAGGCTTACAAACACAATGCGTTCAGTTAAACCTGTTTCCACTCGACCACAATCAACTGATGTTTTCGTTCAACCTGACTTACTACATAGTACACACGTTTTCGTGCGTCGAGACTCGCATCGACGACCTCTCGAATCAACATATGAAGGACCTTTCAAAGTTCTTCAACGCGAATCTAAGTACTATATAATAGATAAGAACGGAGCCAACGAAAGCATCAGCATCGATCGCCTCAAAGCAGCGTATTTAGAAGGAAATCCTATTCACGTCGATTTTCCTTCAATACAATCGCACGACACAACTCCTGCGCTTATAATGCCTCAATCGACAGCAGACACACACGTTGATACTGCGACGGTATCCGAAAATAAACTCAAAACAACGCGTTCTGGAAGAAGAGTAAGATTTCCAGAACACTTGAACGATTACTGCACGTAAGATACAAGTTAACATTTTACATCCTCTCGAATTTCCCTTTGTACTACATATAATTTTTTTTTAAAAAAAACCTGAATTTAATATGCTTATATATTATTTTTTTTATTTCAAAAAAAAAACAAAAAAAAACAACGATATTATAAAAATCTTATTTTACGCTACTACGTGAGCATGAGTTTGTTTTCCTTTTTCTTCGCTTGTTTTGTGTTTTCACGCGCGTACGAGTGTATTCCGACATGCACTTACATATTTTTCTTTTCTTTTCCAGGACGACTGGAAAAGAACGATGAAGTTGCGAAAAACGAAAATCTGCATTGTACCTTTTTTTACTATATTGTACATCATGGTCCATTATAGTAAGGAAAGACGACCAGACGCTGCTAAACCTAGCAAGCTATCAGAAGAGTGTTTACCAACGAAAATCTCGTTGGGTTTAAACTTCTGGCTGGCCACGTCTTAGGGTCATCACTACCCCACTAGGGGGGGAGTGATCTGTAGCGGTAAATAATTCCCCAAAATCAAATAGCTCTGTAAGTTTTCGACATTGGATGCTGACCATAGTTTTAGTGGACTCATCTAGCGGAAGGCGCTCGGTCAAGCATCCGTACCAGATCACGTGTGGGAACGCCGTGCTCAACATCTGTCACAATCGCTAGCCAGATTAGTTCAAACGATCCTCGATATATTGATAGCTTATCAAATATATCTTCGATCTCCTCGCTTCTGTCTTTTGATTTTACTTGGTGGGTGCGCTTCGTATTAGAAGGTGTTACTGGTTAAAGCGTTGTCAAACTCCGAATACCTGTGGCATCTTCAGTCGATTACTTTGTTGTCAGCTGTAGTTACTGTCTAGCTAGACCTCAGTTACCTCCCAGCTTGGACTGCGGCGAGCCAAACCACTCAGCAGCTCTTTTCCATCGCATTTTAGTCGGAAACTAACCAATTCACATGTCCCACTCTCATGGGATGCACTGTCGGTAATAACAAATGGGATGGTGTTCCTCCTCCTCTTTTAGGTTTCTGGATTCTGTCTGCTCTTACCAACGTAAAATCAAGTTCTATATTGCCTGAAGGCTGCGTTAGACACGTTTCTGTGACTATATCTGGCTTGGTAGAGCCAGTCTCTGCAACTAGATCCGACCACGTATTGAGGAGGCTACGGGCATCTGTGTAACGGATGAGAAGCCTACTCAAATTACTTCGTGATGCACCCAGAGTGGCTTCGGCATCATTCTTTGTGGAAGCCTCACAACACGATAATTTACAAAGTTATGTCCTTTTGTCCAGTATCTAACCTAATTTTTAATTATTTTTCGGCTTCTCCACTTTATACAGAGTCTGAGAGCGGCAAGTCCTTACGGATGAAATCTCTCAAACTCTTTAGTTTGTAGTAGCATCGGGCCCTAACACGAGACAATATGGAAAATAGACATTCAACATTTAACGTTGGGAAATACCTAACAATGGAGAGGGCGGAAACAATGAATTAAATAAATTGGCATGGCTCGACCATGCAGGTGTGGTCCCTACTGAATGTTATCTCATGTCTTTTATTCATATTAAATATATTGTTCTATCTCTAGCCTAAGCTTCTTCTCCATCATTTTGGTAATTGTTATGATGCAGTGAGTTGGTGTAGACGATGATGTGACTTCCATGTAAGACATTATAGATCAGGCAGTTATTTCATGACAAATCTGAGATTTTAGGATTATGTCTATTATTATTAGAGCAGTACTAATATCATAGTAAACCGTAATTCAACATTGGTAAGCCCGACTAAAGAAACGCAACCTATTATTATTATTCGTCATTTCCACTTTAACTTTCTCGATCGATTTTTACTCATGTTAAAGCACTTTCTATTATTCCTCTGATTAACGCTCACATGTATTATCGTAATGTTATATTGATTAGTCCTTATAACTTACTAGCTCAACCGATAATAAAAACTGGTCATTTATATTAACTAATTAGCTTCGATGGTTCGTTAACAAGCTTTAGTAGCATTTGCATGCTTCAGTGAAATAAACTTGTTTTAACATCAAGCTCTAGCAAATATGACCTGCAAGTAACCTCAATATACACTTACTAACAATGCAAGCAAGGACCAAATAGTTATCTGGATCTAATTCTTAGTGTTCCTTCACATAACACATTCTGTTTTAAACTATACACTATCCTGTAATACCTTTTCTTCCGACCACTGCCTGCCTAATTTTCAATTCTCGAGTTCCATTGCCAAACAACAAGGATGACACTACTACAAAAACGTAAGGTGAGTTTCAGCTATAAGTTTTCTGTAATCATAAGGTCATTTAAATGGCTCATTCAATGGCAACTACACAATTATCAGGATTCATTCAATTGTTCTGATTCGAGCGAGTGACAAAAACGTCAGCGGCATTAAGGATCCTGGAATTAATTGCCATACTGCATGTTTTATTCTGAATGCTTTTTGATCATTACTACTCCTCACGAATGGCGTTACATATGTCATCTACTGAATAATCTAATTTTCAAAAATAATCCAGGCGAGTTTAACTATTTTACTGGATGGTTTTTTGTACTTAACATGTATATATTTTCCGATTGCTTTTGCCACATATTTGTAAGTGTCACCAGGTTCAATGCATGAACTTCTTATTGAAAGTGTACAAAGCGTCATATTCCTGCCTGAAGTTTCATAAGTAGCCTTAACTTTAAACTAGTTTTTCTGGTCATGTTTGTGATTTTTAAATTGTCATATGCCCAAACAATCTGCATGTTAACCTGGCCCTTACGTGGGTTGCATCATATATCTGTGTCTTTTAAATCTAAAAATCATTTCAATTGCCTTTACTGTTTATCAATAAATCCATCGTAGTCGTTGTTGCTATACGTATATGGGTTTATGAAATGGTTTATCATATTAGCAGCCTAAAAACAGGAAAATATTTTAGATAATAAAGTCACCGAATTTAAGTGTTATCATAATACACTAGCATAATAACTAAAATATCAGGTAGCTGTTGGCCAAACAAATATTTAGAATTAAAACTTCTGAGCCTACTACTAAAACTAACACTATGTAAACGAATGTTTTTAAATTGCGACTTTTAATATAATTAGGCAGCTTGGATCCTTTAACGCTACAAACGTCTGCTATTTTAGAAGCACATACAACAACAATACCTATTTTTCACTGGCTAATCATCAATCAACACTATAGCTAGTTAAGCATAATGGTTTCAGGACATCGTCATAAAGCACTGTCATGATTTGACAATCACGTAATATGATTGATAAAATTGATGGAACTATTGAAAAAAAACTCGGTCATCAAATTGACTTGTAATTATCATTAGATAGTGTTGTTTTTCTTTTATCTTCATTCACCACGGATGATTACAGTATGTTTCTTGATCAGTTGCTCATCCAGTAAATATCTCAAATGCTTGTCAGTCTAATTGGAGGTTTAGCGACACAATCATGCGTGCAAATAATCAGTATAAGCAGTCGAGCGAATCTCCTGCAAACTGAAAACATCAATGTCGAATTTACCCCAACACCGACTAGGGTTCAAGTCATTATCATAGACATGAGTTGGGAGTGTACTCCCCTTGGTTAAAACTTATGTTCTTCCTGATAATCGCATGAGCATCATCCACTGTTGATCATCTTGTAAAGACCTATTTGGCCAAAGTCATCTCGCGGCACTACATCAACAACTTATAATCACTATATCTCAATCAAATCGTATTTCGCCTCATGCTAAACTGCAAACTTGCAACTAACTTGTATGCACCATCAGCCGGTAGGTATAAATATAAATAAATAGTCTATGGCAAGTCAGAACATGGAGTCTAGAGCATGTCTCTTACGAATACACTCATGTTTAACGAATCGCTCTTATCTATCTGTCCGAAATCCACATGATTATCACTTTTCACATATTAAAAAACTTTTCTTTTTGATAACCATTCATATGTATTAGTAGTATCACCAAATTCTATCACGGTCAAGTAAAAACTAGGTCGAGAATTTCTCCCCATAATTAAATAAACCCCATCAAACTAACTAGAACACTTATGGAATTCTTCTCCACGGTGTCACTTTTGTTCTTTCAGTTAGCCTACTAATACAGATGCAATTAAAAATCAACTCACATGGACAGCTTACTGGCATAAAAATTATTTGAGTTAATTTAAACCAAATATAATCCCAATATTGACATTTCTATAAAATTTATTGTTTTTTTAATATTTCTAGACACAAAATACTACCTATAAGTTAAGTTATTATCGAAGGCTATTGACACGCATCTCACGTTTTCTTATTATTATTGTAATCTCATTTTTCATAGTCCAAATAATCACCCAAATTTTCATTTTAAGCGTGTTAAGCATGTAATTAGATATGTTAAAACTACTACATGTATTTCCCGACCAGATGATGCCGATTTTTTATTTATCTTTCAGCTTATCAATACCCGGAGGATTCGTATTATTCTTGGTAACCTCCGGCGCGCGATTAAGTATCCGTTATATCACCCGTTGTCATGCTTAATATTTCACTTTTCCTGGACTTCTGAAAGATAGTTGGCCTGTCGCTGTGACAAGTCCTTTATTTCTTGGCTAACATTTTATGAGCGTATTTGCACGAAGTTGTTCTGTTAATCATCTCATGATCTGCCGATAAAAACTTATTAAGCCGTCGTACGTACATGATTGATTGTCTGCAATCGGCTCTGGATAACCTAAAGTGGCCACCACTTTTCTTTTTAGTGTGTCCGAGAAAATTCCGCGAGTTGGTTCCAATTTGATATTTCTGAGGGTCAGTTGCAATGTCATGTCATTATAATTGCTCAAAAACAATGTCCAGATTCTGAAGATTAGATTTTTTCAGGACATGAGGTCGAGCGATCACCCACCATGCGCGCACAAGATTGAGACCTCAAAAAAGGTCATTATGAATCTCTGGAGATTTTGAGCAGAATTTCTTAAGCCAAAAGGTGTGTTCAAAAGTTCGTGGAGTCTAAAAGAAGTGATGACAGCAGTTTTGGGGATATCGTCTACATTCGTAGGAATCTCGTTGTGTGTCGAAAGTAGATTGGTTTTGGAAAGAAACACGTTTACGTTTTATGGAAGCTGTGAAATCGTAAGTGTGCGACAAGAGGTATCGATCGGCAGTAGTTCCTGTATTCGGTTGCCAATAGTCACCATTCGAATACTAATCGTTGCTGTCATTTTACCGACCATGTGCAGAGGAAATGCCCAAGGGCTGTTTGGCAGAATGATTCCTAAATCTATTGTATGGTCGAATTTGTTTTTAGCCAACCCCAGCTTTTTGGGGACTAGTCGGAGCACTTTCGAGAACACAAATGGCCCTGTAGCCGTGATTTGATGCATAATATTACGTTTTGAATATTTCGAGGTACTCACCGCGTATTTGTCGTTAGTTTGGATCGATCGTGTGCCTTACTGTGGTGGGACAATTTACAACTGGAAAAAGGATTTGCACAAACATATAATTCGGTATTTCTGTCTATCAGCCCCCATT